ATCTATTATCGGTGGCAAGTGTTGACCTAGTATGGCTTCCAGCATGGGTGATGGCCCTGGCCCTGTGCCCCCAGATGTGGAGCAAACCCTGAAGCAGTGGGAGTATCTCTTCATGCTTTTGTGTTTGCTTATTATTGGAGGTTAGCACCTGCATTTGAATTTCAGTTTTAAATTAGACACAATTAGAATAAGTGGCTTAGACCACAACTTAATAGTAGTTATCTCTGGGTACTATTATCAAGTAAGTTTCATGGTATTCAAAAAGGAAAAACAAAACTCTCAATGACTAACAAGACGTTTAATATCTACTCTTGTCAAATAGTCAAAATAGCTTCCTTTAAAAGAAGGTGGGAGAACCTATTGCCAAAGTAATGGGAAACAGCGTTGAGTTTCAGTAGGATGGTTTCTTCTGAGATGCCATTTGGCTAATCTTTGGGAAAATTTGACTGTGAGCATGTTATCATTACATTTTTACACACAGAATGGGCTCAGGTTGTCATCGCATCCCCTGTGATTGCCAGAGACAACACACTGATTTAATTTGTGCCCCTGTGGTAGACATTTTTGAATAATTTCAGTGATTTTTTTTTTTTTATGCTGACGTTTTCTATTTCCTTTGTCGTTTCCTACCTTTGTTGCTCACCACTCTTGCTGATTGCAGTCTGAGGAGAGTGCAGTAATTGCAGGTCCACACGGTTGTCTGAGAGGCCACTGCTCTTGTGTCTTTGGCCCACGCGAATGCTGCCTTCTCACAGAGCAGATCTTAACTAAGCATGTTTGACACTTGCCTCGAACCCTGAAAAACATACACTTGGGGATTTTGTATTCTTTTGGTAGAGACTAGAAATTTCTCAAAGGACTCACCTCCGAAGTTCTGTTTCCTGTTAGTTGGTTGTGCTAACTGCTGTTTAACATGGAAGAGCCCCTGATGCATCTAATTTGAGTGCAGATGTTTTCTTCTGGATGAGGGGTTGCAGAGGCACAGGATAGAGCTGGCTGGATCCCTGCTGCTGTGGAGGGCGCCACAGCACTAATGGGCATTATTTACAGGCTTTGGGGTGGGTATGCCTTCCTAAAGCCCTTGCATGTGCAAAAGCCACTTCTTTTTTTTTAATATATTTTATTGATTTTTTTTGCCCCCCTCCCTCCCTCCCATACATCCCCTCCCTCCCCAGAGTTTTATGTCCATTGGTTGTACTTATATGCATGTATAAAAGTCCTTCGGTTGATCTATTATCTCCCCCAGATCTTCCTCCCCTCCCCACTGTAATTTGACAGTCTGCTTGTTGATTTACTGTCTCTATATCTATATTTTGGTTCATCAGTTTATAATGTTCTTTATTATCCACAAATGAGTGAGGTCATGTGGTGTTTCTCTTTCATTGATTGGCTTATTTCACTCAGCATGATGTTCTCTAATTCCATCCAGGTTGCTGCAAATGGTGAGAATTCCTTCTTTTTTATGGCAGCATAGTATTCCATTGTGTAGATGTACCAAAGTTTTTGGATCCAATCATCTGCTGACGGGCACCTAGGCTGTTTCCAAATTCTGGCTATTGTAGATTGTGCTGCTATGAACATAGGGGTGCATATATCCTTTCTGATTGGTGTTTCTAGTTTCTTGGGATATATTCCTAGAAGTGGGATTACTGGGTCAAATGGGAGTTCCATTTTCAGTTTTTTGAGGAAACTCCACACTGTTCTCCACAGTGGTTGCACCAGTCTGCATTCCCACGAGGGTTCCTTTTTCTCCGCAACCTCTCCAACACTTGTCGTTTGTTGATTTGTTGATGTTGGCCATTCTGACAGGTGTGAGATGGTACCGCATTGTTGTTTTGATTTGCATCTCTCGGACAATTAGTGACTTAGCGCATGTTTTCATGTGCCTTTTGGCCTTCCTTCTGTCTTCTTTTGAAAATGTTCTATTTAGGTCCATTGCCCATTTTTTAATTGGATCATTCATCTTCCTTTTATTTAGTTATATAAGCTGTCTGTAAATGTTGGAGATTAAGCCTTTATCAGTGGTATTATTTGCAAATATGTTCTCCACACTGTGGGCTTTCTTGTTGTTTTGTTGATTGTTTCTTTTGCTGTAAAAAAGCTTTTTATTTTGGTGTAGTCCCATTTGTTTATTTTCTCTTTAGCTTCCATTGCCCTAGGGGCAGTATCAGTGAAGACATTCTTTTGTCTGAGATTTTGCTGCCTGTGGATGCTTCTAGTATTTTTATGGTTTCCCGTCTGATGTTTAAGTCCTGTATCCATTTTGAGTTTATTTTTGTGAATGGTGTAAGTTGATGATCTAGTTTCATTCTTTTGCATGTGTCTGTCCAATTTTCCCAACACCATTTATTGAAGAAACTGTCTTGACTCCATTGAATATTCGTGCCTCCTTTGTCAAATATTAATTGAGCATAGTGATTTGGGTTGATATCTGGGTTCTCGATTCTATTCCATTGGTCTATATGTCTGTTCTTGTGCCAGTACCAGGCTGTTTTGAGAACAGTGGCTTTGTAATATAGTTTGAAGTCTGATATTGAGATCCCTCCAACTTTACTCTTCTTTCTCAGGATTGCTGTGGCTATTCGGGGTCTTTTATTGTTCCAAATGAACTTTTGGAGAGTTCTTTCTAGGTCGGTGAAATATGTCGTTGGTATTTTGATGGGGAGTGCATTGAACCTATAGATTGCTTTAGGAAGTATGGACATTTTGATGATGTTGATTCTACCAAACCATGAACATGGTATGTTCTTCCATCTGTTTATATCTTCTTCTATCTCTTTTTTCAGTGTCGTGTAGTTTTCCGCATATAGGTCCTTTACTTCCTTAGTTAAATTTATTCCTAGGTATCTTAATTTTTTTGGTGTGATGGTAAATGGAATTGCTTTTTTAGTCTCTGTTTCTGTAGTTTCACTGTTGGTGTATAGAAATGCCATGGATTTCTTGGCATTAATTTTGTATCCTGCTACATTGCCAAATTCATTTATTAAGTCAATTAGTTTTTTAATGGAGTCTTTTGGGTTTTTTATGTACAATATCATGTCATCTGCAAATAAGGATAACTTTACTTCTTCTTTTCCAATTTGGATGCCTTTTATTTCCTCCTCTTGTCTAATTGCAATTGCTAGTACTTCCAGTACTATGTCAAACAGGAGTGGCAAGAGTGGGAATCCCTGTCTTGTTCCTGTTCTTAGAGGGAATGGTTTTAGTTTTTGCCCACTGAGTATAATGTTGGCTGTGGGTTTATCATACATAGCTTTTATTATGTTGAGGTATGGTCCTTGTACTCCCACCTTGTTAAGAGTTTTTATCAGGAAAGGGTGTTGGATTTTATTGAATGCTTTTTCTGCATCAATTGATATGACTATATGATTCTTATCTTTCAATTTGTTTATGTGATGTATCACATTTATTGATTTGCGGATATTGTACCATCCTTGCAGTCCTGGAATAAATCCTACTTGGTCATGGTGTATGATCTTTGTGATGTTCTTCTGGAGTTGATTTGCTAGAATTTTGTTGAGGATTTTGGCATCTATGTTCATGAGGAATATTGGCCTATAATTCTCTTTCATTGAGTTGTCTTTATCTGGTTTTGGTATTAGGGTGATGCTGGCTTCATACAAGGAGTTTGGAAGTGTTCCTTCCTCTTGGATTTTTTGGAATAGTCTGAGGAGGATAGGTTTTAGTTCTTCCTTGAATGTTTGGTAAAACTCCTGTGAAGCCATCTGGCCCTGGGATTTTGCTTGCTGGAAGCTTTTTGATGACTGTTTCAATGAGGGCGATCTGGCTGCGATATCTGTCACCCCATTGATCACCAGGGTTGATTCGGCTGATCTGGCTGGCTAGGCGGGTGTCCCCCTCCTCCCTCACTGATCCATGTGTGTCCCTCCCGAAGCTGTGCGCTTGGTCGAAAAGGACGACCTTCCTCCAAGAGGAGAGGACCGGTCTTCGGTCAAGGGTATAGGAGTAGCTGCGCTCCCCTGCTAGAACCTCCAAACAAGCTCTCAATTTCTTTCCAAGTCACTGGTCTATTGAGATTTTTAGATTCTTCCTGATTGAGCTTGTATTTTTCTAGGAATATGTCCATTTCCTCCAGGTTGTTCAGTTTGTTGGAGTAGAGTTGTTCATAGTATTTTGTAACAATCCGTTGTATTTCGGTGGGGTCTGTTGTTATTTCACCTCTTTCGTTTCTGATTTTGTTTATTTGGGTCCTCTCTCTTTGTTTCTTGGTTAGCCTGGCTAGAGGTCCATCTATCTTGTTTATCCTTTCAAAGAACCAGCTCTTGGTTTTGTTGATCTTCTGCATTGTTTCTTTGGTCTCTATGTCATTTATCTGTGCTCTGATTTTTGTTATTTCCTTCCTTCTGCTTACACTGGGATTTTCTTGTTGCTCTTTTTCTAACTCTTTGAGTTGTAGAGTTAGATCATCTGTTACCCTTTTTTCTAGTTTTTTGCAATAGGCTTGTAAGGATATGAACTTCCCTCTCAAAACTGCTTTTGCTGTGTCCCATAGATTTTGGATTGTTGTGTTTTCATTGTCATTTGTTTCCAGGATGTTTTTAATTTCTTCCTTGATTTCTCTGGTAACCCAGTCCTTATTTAATAGTATGTTGTTTAGTCTCCATGTGTTTGATTTCTTTGGATTATCTTTAATGTAGTTAATTTCCAGTTTTATGCCATTATGGTCTGAGAAGATGCTTGATATGATTTCTATCTTCTTGAATTTGAGGAGACTTTGCCTATGTCCCAAAATGTGGTCTATCTTTGAGAATGTCCCATGTGCATTTGAGAGGAATGTACATTCTGTGGCTCTGGGGTGGAATGTTCTGAAGATGTCAATTCCATCTGGTCTAGTGAGTCATTTAGGATTGATATTTCTTTGCTGACTTTTTTGCAAAAGCCACTTCTATGTCACAGTTGTTTTTTTTTTATAAGTACATCCTTAAGATTTTCAGAAAGTGGTGAAAAGTTATTTCTTATACCATTTTTTTAAAATGCAGAGTGGACACAAATATCTACCAGGTATCTTCGAGAGCAGCTGGCCAAGATTTCCGACTTCTACCACATGGCTTCCAGCATGGGTGATGGCCCTGTCCCTGTCCCCCCAGATGTGGAGCAAACCCTGAAGCAGTGGGAGTACAACGCAAAGCTGGCATTCCACATGTTCCAGGTAACCTACAGGGCAGCCAAGGCTGTGCAGCATTCTTTTAAAAAGAGAGCAAGTTCCTTATCGTTTACTTTTCTGGGGGTTAAATTGGGTCTTTCTATGAACAGTACACTCAGAGGAAACCACCTGACATTTCTCACGTTGAATTGGAGTTAAGGTTGCACCTTGGACCTGAGATGACAGCTGCTTCTCATACATGTTGACCTCCAGCTTTAATGATGTCAGCTCTGTTAGTACTGTTGCTATGTAATTGCAATATTAAGTATGATCCTTTTAAACCTTTTCTTTTGCAAAAATTGGATGTGTACATTCAAAAAAAAAATCTTTGTACTGATGTCTCCCAGTAGATCTTTAGGGGTTTGTTATTCCACAGATAGGTCACCTTAATTGGGCTCAGCTGCAATTCAAAATGCAGTTGGTGGGGCCTATGTGGGCACTGTGGCACCCAGATAAGCTGATGTAAACCATAGGGACCAGAAGAGGGTGCATGTGTCATACACCTCGAAATCTAGCCAGGTGCTTGATATATACGTTGGGAGTCTTTTCAGTTTTCTTTCTTGCAGGAATCAATTTTTTTATTTTAAATTTAGAATTAAGCAGATTATAAAAAATCACAAACAATAACAATCCCCCAAACCAACTATACAAAGCAATATCAGTTTTTTTTGTTTGTTTGAAATTTAGACTATGATCAATGAGTTTTACTACAACAAAATCAATAGTAAAATTATGCAGAAGCATAAGAATAGCAGTGCTTTTTGCATTTTAGTTAGTTTTACTTTAACATTATTAGTATAATTTTTCTTTGTTCATTTAAGGAAGGAATGCTGGAAAAACATGAATATTTGACATGGATCTTGGATGTTTTAGAAAAGATAAGACCAATGGATGATGATCTTCTTAAACTCCTGTTACCATTAATGCTCCAGGTACAGTGTATATAACCACAGGCCAGTTGATTTCATGGGCAGGAATTGATCTGATAAGAAAAGCTTAGGTAAGTAGAGGTGGAAGAGGAAAAAAATTGCACTTTGAAATGGAAGGAAAAAAAAATTATCTTGACACTACAACACATGAAGTGATATGAAGCTTAAGTTCTGGCAGTTATTTGTAATGGGCATTTCAGAGTTTTAACCACGTGTCCTTTTTAAGTAGTCTCACTCCATTGATTTCTCCCATCACTGAGCTAAGCAAACAGCTCTTTAAATACTGTTCTCTTGTTCAAACAAATGGCTGGAAACAAAATAAGTCATCTCTTTTTAAGGACCCAGAGGATCTTTTATATTTGTTTGACATGTTTTGAGCCACTGTGGTGGGAACTTCCTATTTTAATGTCTGGTCTAAAATTTGTTGAAATTTAGGTTATCTGGATGAAATTTATTTAAAAAATTAAAATTTCCTTGAAAAGGTAATGCATGTACTTGAGTATTCAAACAGTACAAAAGAGTATCTAATGAAAAGTCACCAGCGCCCCCTTTCTGAGACTGACCCATGCTCCTGTGTGTCCCCTCTGGGGTGCCTGGGCCTGTGCTGCCCAGGAGAGGAGCCACCGGCCAGATGTGGAGGTTAACTGTTGGAATTGTAACAAGTACAAATTGATATGTGTTCTCAGTACAAAATACACACCAGATTTCAGACTTAATGCAGAAAAAAGGTATATGTAATGTCTCAATACATCTTGGTTTGATTATATGTTGAAGTGATAACACTTGCCTATATGAGGATAAATAAAAGATTCCTTTAATTTTACCTTTGTTTTTCCAATGGCTATTAGAAAATTTAAAATTACATGTGTGGCTTATGTTATGTTTCTGTTGGACAGCACTGGTCTATACAGTACCTTTGAAGGTTGTCTTTTTAAATAAAAACTTTCTGTATTACCATAATTATTTCACCAACATGACCAAGTCTGGTGTCCTTGTACTCCTCAGTATTCAGACGAGTTTGTTCAGTCGGCCTACCTGTCTCGTCGTCTTGCCTACTTTTGTGCCCGGCGTCTTGCCTTGCTGCTGAACGACAGCACTGGCCTCCTCGCTGCCCACTCGCCTCACATGATGATAGGACCAAACAATGCGAGCATCAGGGCCCCCAGCCCTGGCCCCCCCGGCCCCGTGCAGCTCGCCTTCTCAGACTTTCTGTCCTGTGCACAGCATGGTCCTCTTGTTTATGGACTTAGTTGTATGTTGCAGGTAAGTCCTTTAACCTTGTTACTTTCGTTAGATTTTAGTGTAGGAGATAATTGGGGTGGGAATTGCAACATCTTTCACATTACAGCTCTAGTTTCTTTCTTAACCACATAATTTATAGATTGAAATTTCATGTTTTTATTTTCCTATGTAAATCAAGCCAAAAGAAGATTAGTTGCTTTAGTTTAGTAGTAAGTTCTTGTGCTTATTCTTCATGAGGGCCATTAAGTAAAACCTCGAGGGAATCCATGGAACAAGCCAGCTGTATCACTGCTCTGGAAGATCAGCTTCTTCATGCAGCATCTTTAGCTTCCTCAGTTTACATCCTGAGTGGTTGCCTTTTCTCTCTTTCTTTAAACCCAATAAGTCTGTCCTGCTTTGCTCCGTTGAGCTTCACTGCTGGTGGCCTTGGACCATGCTGGCCCCTGGAATGATGCTGTTAGGAAGGAAGTACAGCACCACACTAGAGGAGTCTCAGCTTAGTGTTCAGATCACACTTCTTGGGCTCTTAATGTGTCCACCTGTTGGCTAAGGGGCTTTGGGGCAGGCCTGGCCTTGGAGACACTCTGGTAGGATTTGCTGCTTTGTCAGGAAGACAGGCTGACAGGCAGTTTCTGAGACTCTGACAAGGGTGACAGAGGGATGTACAGTGAGCTAAGGGAGTTGAGAGGATCATTTCTGATCCCATCTAGAATTCAGGGAAGCTTCCTGAGGACATAGTCCTGACTGCTGCTTACAATACAAGTTAAAAAAGGTGGTAGAGTGTTCCTGGCAGAGCTCACAGCAGGGGCAGAGGCCCAGAGGTTTGTCCGGCCCTCTTGTGTATTAATGGAACATGGAGTATAAAACTGTTAGGGGCCAGCACATAGAAGATCCTTGTGCACCTTATGATTGGGTATCATTGAAGGATTTTGTGCATGGAAGTGACAGTGTGTGGGTTAGTTAGACTGTTTTAGCAACAGTAGAGGGACAACTTATGCGAGTTAGGAAGTAGCGGGGGGAGAGAGAGAGACAAGGCAAAGAAATAAGTTTGGAAGAGTCTAGGTAAGTTCAATTTTGGACTGATTTATCCCATAGGATCTCCAAGTGAGTATTTTTCAAGAGGTTGTTACATGTCTGATTCTGTCTCCTGAGCAAAGATGACCAGCCACATGTGGATTTGAATAATTCAGGGCATGTGGCTGTGAGGAGCGAGGTTACCCAAAGAATTAGTGTGGGAGAGGCCAGGTGGACCAAGGGGCATGAGTGGTTAAGAGATAGCAGAGAGGACTTCACAGAGATAACTTGGAAAGTTAGCCAGACTAGAGAAGGAGTGAGAGAGAATTTATTGTAGAAACAAAGATGAGGAGAAGAATACTGAGCATGTTCTATGTTCTAGGCACTGTTTTAAGTTATATATAAAGTCATTTAGTTCTCAGAACCATCCTATCTGATAGTAACTTCTGTTATTTTTGTAACACTAATGATGAAAAGGTAATATAGTCACACCTGAGGTCAGTGACAAAGCTGAAATTCAGACCCAAATTCTGGATCCAAAGTCTACATTCTTGACTTCTCTACTGCATAAAGTTTCAAAATGGAGTTAGTAGTGGTAGAGGCAGTGCCCAGTGGATTGGGAAGGTCTGGTAAGAAGGTGGCTGAACTTGTCTTTGACAGTATGGTGGTGTCTTTGATGATCAGTTGGGTTTTGGGTGAGAAGCCAGGTTAAGGCAGGTTGACAGGTGATGCAGAATGGGGTGAAATAACGCTCCTCTTAGTTTGACAATGTGTCTATGAAGGCAAGAGATAGAGATCGCTGCTGTGTGAATAAGGTTGCTAAGGATAGACTGGTAGAAGTGAGTCTGGGAATGGTATTTGATAGATCAGTGTCCTAGATGTGGGAGACTTTGGAACTAAGAATGCAAGGGAAGGGCTCCATCATGGACAGGTGGTAAGAACCCACAGTGTCACAGAAAAGAGGACAGGATGAAGTGGGCAGGGATAGGTGCCAGGGGAGACATGCATTGGAGGGTTCAGAGACTTGATGGTCCTCCTGTTTGCCATCTGATTTCCACAGACGTGTTTCCCTCCATACCTCCAAATGTAATACTTTTATTTTTCTACTCACCTTTTAGAAAAAGGAAATGCTGCATTCATTCTCTCAGCTCTCTTTGTTTGCTGTTGAGTGGCATGATAGCAGAATGGTTAAGACATGTACTATAAAATCATTCAGACAGGCCTGACTTGGGCTCTGCTCTGCCAGTTGGTAACTTGGACCTTGAGGCTCTGTTTCCCAAGTGTGAATAGGGGATGATGACGGTTTTTTTTTTTTTTTTTTAATTCTTTGTTGTTTAAAGTACTACATATAGTATTACACATGTCTCCTTTTTCCCTCATTGGCCATCCCGACCCCCCCAGCACATGTCTTCACCACCCTAGTGTCTGTGTCCATTCGTTATGCTTATACGCATGCATATAAGTCCTTAGGTTGATCTCTTACCCCCCACATCCACCTTCCCCTGCCTTCCCTCAGAAAATTGACTGACTGTTCAATGTTTTGCTTATTACCAGACTAGAGCCTAGTGCATGGATTCTTGCACCAGTGGGTTCCCTCAGCCTGGCCTGCGGGTATTGGGCCAGAACATCCCCGGAGGGCTTCTAGATTGTGAGAAGGCAGTTCTTGACACTCCAGAATTGGGCTCCTTCCTCTCTGGTTCTGGGTGCATCACCCAAGAACCAAAGCTGCCAAGTCACTACAGATCAGCAGCTCCCGCGTTGAATATATGCCCCCTGATGGTCAATGCATGTCATAGCTACTGGCCAGTTGGTGGGGGTAGGGGTGGGGTTGTTCACTTAGGCTTTTATATATACAGATGGGGTCAAGGTTATGAGGACAGAAAGTTTCCAGGATAGTGTTCAATTAAATGTGAACTATACTATTTAATGTGCATTTCAGAGGCAGCAGGATTAACATAAGGGTGCCAGTCAAGTGTGCTGGACTCAATTTGGAGCTGTTACTAATTTCTGTCTTATGTTCCTCTTTCATACAGTTGGGAAATGGGGTTGCTGTGACATAGAAGCAAGGTGGTCATAGAAAGTACTTTGTGCAAGCTGGTTGAGTAAGACAGTCTGTAAGGGGCTCAGCCAGGGTGGATGAGCTACAACCGAGGGCCAGGTGCAGCCTGTGAGCTTTAATAGTTTCATGTTTCCAATGAGTTATTAGGACATGAAAAAAAGAATATGAGAGAGAAACTATAGATGTCCCAAAAAGCTCAAAACATTTACCATCTGGCTTCTTACAGAAAAAAATTAGCCAACCGTTAGTCCAGGATTATTGCCTACCCACCCAGCATTTATGAAGCTACTTACTGCACCATTACTTGAAATATTTTTTAAAATTCCTTTTTACAGTTTATAACCTTAGAAATTACCTATTTAATGCCATCTCATTTTTTAAACTTCATGAAAAATTGTTTTAAATGGTGATTATTTCATTTTTATGCTTCCTAGGTTTCCTGTACTAGGTAATTTCTTAATACTATACCTCCTTCCTTTCAAAGTGGTAATTTTGTCTTAGTTTTGACTTATCACTTGAAAAGATGAGAATGGGATATTAAAATACTCATATTTTAATCTTACTGATAAGAAACTGTAATAGTCATAATAAGGTGTCATTTTACTGTAAAGCTGTTGTTATACCTTTTCTTTTTCTTATCTGGATTTTTCCACTTTCTCTCCAGACTGTCACTCTTTGTTGCCCAAGTGCCTTAGTGTGGAATTATTCCACAAGCGACAGTAAAAGCGCGAACCCAGGCTCACCCCTGGATCTGCTGCAGGTGGCTCCCTCCAGCCTCCCCATGCCTGGCGGGAACACGGCCTTCAATCAGCAGGTAGACTTTCTGTTGCAGTGATTTGATGGGGGTTCTCATTCTTGAGTCATCAAGGCTTGGGTGCCATTCCCAGCTCCGCCCCCTCTCTCTGAGTGCCTTGGGGGATGTATTTAGCCTCTTGAATCACAGAAGTTCATGTTGCTCTCTTTCTTCTCATCTTTTTGCCTAGCAGTACTTGCAGAGTTCTGCCACCCAAATGGTAATTATAATGGTGTTCCACAACTTTCAAAGTAGTGGTCTGTGATATTTAGTAATTATTATGTTTTTATTAGTGCTGGGTTTTTTGGTTCAAAGACTTAAGAAACTTGAATCAAAGAATGGTGACTAATACTTAGAAAAAGGTCTCTGTTTTTTCAAAGCAGTCTTAATAAGTTAATAAACATGACTGGTTGCTTTCATACATAGAAGAATGGCTTATAGATGATATTTAGAACTTTTACTTTCTATTGATGTTCTAATATATTTTCAGTTATAAAGATTTTTTTAAGCATTTATTATTGAAAACTGGCATAGAACCACCACCTGGGAATTTAATTTAATTTAATTTTTTAAAATATATTTTATTGATTTTTTACAGAGAGGAAGAGAGAGAGATAGAGAGTTAAAAACTCTCTCTAGAGATAGTCATCAATCACTGCCTCCTGAACACTCCCTACTGGGGACATGTCCACAACCAAGATACATGCCCTTGACCAGAATCAAACCTGGGACCCTTCAGTCTGCAGGCCAATGCTCTATCCACTGAGCAAAACCAGTTTCGGCCACCTGTGAATTTTAAAATGCACTCTTGGTGAAGCCGACTGAACTTCCTACAATGCAGTGAAGACTGTAGTTCACCGTAGGATTCTCTGTTCATGTGGAAAATCCTTACATCCTATCTAATAAAAGAGTAATATGCAAATTAACTATCATTCCGCTACACCCACAAGCTACACCTACCAGCCAATCTGGAGCAAATATGCAAATAAACCCAACCAAGATGGCTACAGTTTCAATTGTAGAAGATAAATAAACCTTAGATACTAGGGCCTCCACTTGGGTTGCCAGGGTGGTGGCCAGCTTGCAAACCACCACACGTCCCTTGCCCAGGCTGCCCATGCCTCAAGGGAACCCCTCCTTTGATCTGGGACATCCTTCAGAGTAAACCAGCCTGCCCCTACCCATGCACCAGGCCGGACATCCCTTGAGGGGTCCCAGATTTCAGAGGGTGCAAGTGGGCTGAGGGACATCCCCACCCTGCACAAATTTTGTGCACCGGGCCTCTAGTGTTTTAGATAACCACTGTGGCTCTCCAAGCACAAGTTAATTAGAAATGCTTATTTTTCAGGTTCGGGCAAGGATTTATGAGGTAGAACAGCAGATAAAACAGAGAGGTCGTGCAGTGGAAGTTCGGTGGTCTTTTGACAAGTGCCAAGAGTCAACAGCAGGTACAGAACACAACAGAGGAGTGCTTTTGAATGTGGGACTTTATATGCCATGCTTCTGATTCTTATCACCCTGTCCACGTATTGGATAAGGATGCTCTCTGCTCTCTGTCGGAGCCACCTAGTGAATTCGGAGGAAGTTCTTTAATTTATGCCCTTAGAACCTGGTTGTCTAACTTGCTACGTTTGGTTTTGTTGGCAACTCTTCTATGCTGGGAATGATTTCTTAAAATCCCCTTTGCACCCATAATAATGAGTTTTGTACTGTGCTGTTTGGCCTCATTTAGCCTTTTTAACTGCTTGCTTAATTTTCATTTCTAGGGGTGACCATTAGCCGGGTTTTGCACACATTGGAAGTGTTGGATCGACACTGTTTTGACCGAACTGATTCTAGCAATTCATTGGAGACGCTTTATCATAAGATTTTCTGGGCGCACCAAAATAAAGATAACCAAGAGGTAGTTATTTTTCCCCCCTCTTATCTCCTTTAATTAGCATATTTTCTTCTTTTTCATTCTATAAATTTTGCCAAAGCTTTTACAATAAAGTGTAATACCTTGTGAAGAGGTTTTCACCCTGAAATCATTCTATTGTATGACTAAAAAGTCCCACCGTTATAAAAATGTCCATTGGGTTGGTCTACCTAGGTATATCGATTGGAAAGCTTTTTCTTCCATTCTTTTATTGTCATTTCTTATAATTTTCATTTTAGAAGAATATACTTCATCTAGTGATTGGATTTAATGTAGTGGTTTGGCTTTAATCCAGTGAAAACAATAGATTTATCATATTAAAAATGACTGGATTAAAATCTGTGGTTATGATCTTTGAAAAATCTGTAGACAGTATATTATACAGGATTCTTCAGAGAAATAGAACCAATAGGGGAAAAAATGTAAATAGCCTCTCAACTTTTAATATATAGATATATATGTGTGTATATCTATATATTAAAAGTTGAGAGGATATTTACAATCATTTGCTACATAACTATATTTCAATAAATGACAGATTGCATATATGATGATGGTCCCATCTATTTATAATAATAAAAGGATAATATGCTAATTAGACTGCATGTCTTCTAGACGTCATTCCGGACATCCTTCCTGACAAAGCAGGGCTGGAGGGAAGCCAGCCTGGGTTGCGGTGCTTGTGGGTGGCCAGAGGAGGGAAGCTGGCGCTAGCAGTGGGGGGAAGGAAGACCTACTCTTGCTTGCATTTTTATGCATTGGGCCTCTAGTCCACACAAATAAAAGAGAAAATTTGCAAATTGACTGTATCTTCTTAATGTCCACCAGCCAATCAGGAGAGAGTATGCAAATCAACCCAACAAAGATGGCGGGTTAATTTGCATACACAGGCACAGAGCGGCCTAGGTCCTGGGATCATTCTCAGGACCCAGGCGACTCCTAGCCTATAGGCCCATGTGTAGGCCCTGAGAGGCTCGGGTCCCAGAATGCCTCCAGGCCTATGAGCGCAGACACCAAGTGCCTGGGGGTGGATGTTCCCAGCCTGGTGCCCACAGTCTGTGGTGCCCACAGGCTGGCTGCTGGCCTTGGGGATGTGCGCTCCACCCCCCCTCACCCCCCAGCCACAGGGACACGCCCTAGCCCAGTGGACACAAAGCAGGGCATTCTCTGCACATGAGCTGCAAAGGAAACACCTTTTCTTTAAAAAAAAAAAAATATATATATATATATATATATATTTATTTTTTTTTTTCCATGATTTTTTTTACAGAGAAGAGGGGAGAGGGATAGTCAGTTAGAAATATCAATGAGAGAGAAACATCAATCAGCTGCCTCTTGCACCCTCCCCACTATGGGGATGTGCCCCAACCAAGGTACATGCCCTTAACAGGAATCAAACCTGAGACCCTTCATCTGCAGGCTGATGCTCTATCCACTGAACCAAACCAGTTTGAGCATAAACACCTTCTCTGACTGCTCATTGGCTGAGCTCCATGTACACCACCACTTGCAGTGTTCTTGGTAACTTGGGTAATAAGAATCCAAGAAGGTGATCTAGGGTTTTTCCTTCACACTCTTGGATGAAAAAAAATCAAGCTCCGCTGCTGTAAGGGCTAAGAAAAGTCATATCCTGTCCTAGTCCATTTGGCTCAATAGATAGAGCCTTGGCCTGCCGACCACAGAGTCTGAATTTGATTCTGATCAAGTGCATGCACCTAGGTTACAGGCTCCACCCTGGCTGGGTCCCAGGTCAGGGATCATGCAGGAGGCAACCAATCAAAGTGTCCCTCTTACACTGATGTTTCTCTCTGTCTCTCCCTTTCTCTTCCATACTCTCTAAAAATCAATGGAAACATATCCTCAGGTTAGGATATTAAAAAAAAAAAAAAAAAAAAAGAAAGAAAGAAAGAAAAAAAAATAAAGGAATGTTATATTCTATGAAAGACACATCTTGAAGGTGCCTAAAGAAAGTTGTCATTTTTTCATGGTGAAGGGACTGGAGTCCATGTTGATGAAAACACCTCGGTGGCTGTGGTGGCTGGCAGTGGCTGTGGCAGTGGGGCAGTAAGGCTGGCGTCTTCCCCTGATCATCCTGGTACCTCCCACAGAGAATGATAGCCCCTGAGACCATCAGTAGGATATCGCCTGAGGGCTCCCAGTCTGTGAGAGGGGCAGGCTGGGCTGAGGGACCTTCACCCTCAGTGCACTAATTTTGTGCACTGGGCCCCTAGTAAGATTATAAGGGAGATGAAAAATTCTTATCCCTTACTGATGCTATAGCCATTATAATATTGTAGTACAGCATGTTGCTCATGTGTTTGTGGTGATGCTGGTATAAACAGACCTACTGTGCTACCTGTCATATAAAAGTATTGCACAAAAGTATAGAATATAATACTTGGTAATGATAATAAAATGACTATGTTACTGGTTTGTGTATTTGCTGTACTGTACTTTTTATTGTTATTTTAGAGTGTATTCTACTTATAAAAAAGTTGGTATAAAACAGTATGCCGTATTAAGCCAGCAGCAACCAGCTTCATACACCTTGTGTTTATCATGTTTGATTGCATCATTTTCTCATGTGCTCGATTTAGTCTCATGTTGTTTTGTGTGATAAAATATACTATTCAGGCTTGCAGCCTAGGTGTATAGTAAGTTAGACCATCTAAGTTTGTGTATAGCACTCTGATGTTCACACAACAAAATTGCCTATTGATGCATTTCTCAGAATGTACCCTACTTGTTAATTGGTGTATGGCTGTATTTTAAGGAATTGGCTCAGATGATTATGGGAGTTGGCAAATCTGAAATGTGTAGTGCCGGGCAATAGGTCGGGATTCAGGGAAGTGCTGATGTTGCAGCTTGAGACTGAAGGCAGCCTGAAGCAGAATTCCTTTTTACTTGGGGGACTGTACTTTCTCTTAAGGTCTTTAACTGTTTGAATAAGGCACATCCATGTTATTGAAGATAATCTGCTGTACTAAATCTATGGATTTAAACATTATTCACATTTTAAAAAGATGTCTTATTCTAAATTGGAGTTTGACCCCAAAACATAGCCTAGCCATCTGACACATAAAATTTTAACCATCATACAGACAGTTGTTACCAGATGCTTTCTTAGTAATAAATTGTTTCATTACTGAACTGATCTATAAACATCAGATTTTCAGTGTTTCCCCCCCTCCCCAACTCTTATTTTGGGGAGCAATAGAAAGTTTGTGTTCTTTTTACAATGGAAAGTGCCTGTGGTATGTCCAAGTTATGCTAGGTGCCAGGAATGCAGAGGTCAGTTTTAAGACATGATACCTGCCTCCAATGAATACCTTAGTTAACTGATTATAAATACCTTTGGTTTTCATAGCAGTCTTTGGGAACTACATATGTGGAAAGAAGAGAAAACATAAAGAACCACCACAAATCTTCCACTGTCCTGCCTCCATGTGAACTTGATGTGATTACTTCTTTTCCAGATTACTTCTGTTTTGGAATATTTGTGGGTCATCACTTTGCTTCTCAAATACAAGGATCATGCCAAGTAGGGTATCCTGATGCTGTGAGTGAGGCACACAGACCCAGTAAAATTTCTAACTTGAGCCTAAGTGGAAAGGCTTCAGTCCCTCTGGAGAGCATACTGATGATAAAAGTCTGCACAATTCTCTGCTCATTGACATAGGACAGAGTGTTACTGGATGGACACTTTGAAATTTTTCTTTTTGTAATAAAGACTTTCTTAGATAAAAGGCTTCAAGAGTGCTAAGATTTGTAATACGTAGACTTGAGCTATCTGGAAGGAAAGTAGGGCTACCTGAGATTTCAAGGTGTGCTTTTGCATTGCTAACTTGCTTGAGCTAAATGTTGAGTAAAGACTATATTGTTCCCAGGTGAGAGTTTTACCTAGTCCATGCAAACTGCCATTTAAAAAAAAATATATTTTATTGATTTTTTACAGAGAGGAAGAGAGAAGGATAGAGAGTTAGAAACATCAATGAGAGAGAATCATCGATCAGCTGCCTCTTGCACACCCCCTACCCGGGACGTGCCCACAACCAAGGTACATTCCCTTGACCGGAATCAAACCCAGGACCTTTCAGTCCACAGGCCGACGCTCTATCCACTGAGCCAAACTGTTTTTGGCAAACTGCTTCAGTTTTATGGTTAACCTTTCTAGTTCATGAAATGGCTAATTTCAGAATTCCTATGCCTCATTCAGGCACAGACTTAAGTTACAGGACTCTTAAAGAGAAAAATCAGGAGTGTCTGTATCAAGGGCAGAAACAATGCTGAATGTTTTTGATTAAAATTATATTAACAGATTCTTTCTCAAGCACAGTTATCTCCAATGTGGGTGCCTGAGGAAATGATTAGAATTTCTATTTAGATTACATTTTAAAACAACCAGTCTGTTTTGTCTAGGTTTTATAATAAGCATAATTGTTATTCTGATATTAGTATAGAAATAAATAGATATGTGTTGAGTGAGTGTTTGCTAAAAAAAAGTACTGAGCTGAAAGGGTATGTAAGAAATGCTTGTCAAGCATCAGGTGAGGGACTTAGCCCAGAATGTGAGAAGTGCATGCCACTAGAGGGCGACGTGTGCTCAGGGCAGAGAGTCCTGGATCCTCTAGTCACAGACACACTTCACTGGAAGGAACATCAGTGTTGCCCATTTAGGAGTAGTTATATTTCATGTTGACTCAATTCCAGATGTGTTACTATGCTGTTTAATGAATAAGACAAAAAACTATATTTTAACCTGTAAGTCAAATTGGTCATCTTTTCTTAATTGGTCAGAAAGAGTAACTGAATGGAGCCTTTTAAAACATTTAACATGAAATTATTTTTTACAATATGACTGGCATGTGTGTGTGTGTGTGTGTGTGTGTGTGTTCGCGCGCGCGCGCGCACGCGCGTACGTACATACGTACGTACGCAAATGGGCGATGTTGCCTCACTGTTTATTTGCCACAGGGTTTGCTGTT